TTAGTAGACATGGTTTTCGATACTTTGCTCTGTTCGTTGACCATGCTACTCGGTTTACCTGGATTTATTTCATTCGTCTTAAATTTGACCTGCGCGTTGTAGCCTTGGAATTTTTAAATATGATACATACTCAGTTTGGACATTCTATCAAAATTATTCGATCAAATCCAGGTGGATAATTTAGTTTTTTTCCTCTTCGTGAAATCTATCGTGATCGGGGTATTTTGGGTAAAAAATCTTGTCCTGGAGTCTCCCAACCATACGGTTTAGTTGAACGTAAAAATCGTCATGTTGTTGAACTCACTCGAGCTCTCTTATTGGCTTCTAATGTTCCCGGGCGTTTTTGGCCTGAGGCTGTTGCCACTGCAGTAAGACTAATCAATTATCAGATTACTCCTACTCTTGGCAACATTAGCAGGGGCGCAGCAAGGATTCGTGAGTCGGGGGGGAGGGGGGGGCGACATTTTTTTTTACGTATTATCATAAGAATTCGAAAAAAATGTAATAACATAAAAGGGTGAAAAGACATAAAAATATGGTCTAAACTAAAATTTATAGTACAATATGTTTCAGATAAATAATTAAACAACCAACAAAAACTAATAATTTTTTTCAACTTGTACCATGTTATTCACTATTGTTACAACTTAATGATGAGCGTTACTAGAATTCCAGAAACTTTAATCTATAAATGTTCAATATAAATTAAGTATGTCTATTTTTTCTCGAATTTTTCATTAAATTGCTATCTTAAATTTGAGCAATTATTAAACTAAAAAAGAGGAGACAAAATTGAACTAATGAAATAATTATTATAAATTTTGAGCATTTATTAAAATTTGCTAAACTGAAAAGTGTAGAAAAAAGCAAACTAGCTTCCACGGGGATCGAACGCTAGTACATGGGATAAAATGGCAATAATTAGTCCGCTGAACTACAACCAATGTAGTATAATTTATTGCACACTAATATACTTATATAATTCCTTTAAATTATTCTTAAATACCAAAATTCTCGACGAATATATATGCGATCTTCAAAATTCTCGGGGGGCCGACCCCCCCCCCCCCCCCCGAGCACCAATGTAGCTCCGCCCCTGAACATTAGTCCGTACTTTGCTCTCTACTCGCGTCACCCTAATTATTCGCGTCTTCGTGTTTTTGGTTGCTTGTGTTTTGTCCTTCTTCCGAAACGAGAACGTACTAAACTCACTTCCAAAACCGCCTGGTGTGCTTTCCTAGGATACAACGATGTTCATAAAGGGTATTTATGCTGTGATCCTGAACTTCAGCGAATTCGCATTGCATGTACCGTGGTATTTTTCGAACATGTTCCCTTCTTTGATGCTTTGCTGCCTATGTTTCCTGATGATGATGAGCCATTTTGGAACAATGATACTCCTCCCCCCTCATGATGACTCGCCTCCCCCTAGACACTCCTCTATTTTGTCCCCTTCGGCAGGAAGTACAACCTGAAGCACCTCTACCTCAAATCCCAGCAGCCCCGTTGCTTCCTCCTCTTCCCACACGACCTCAGCGACCAACTCACCAGCTCAACCTCGTCGATCACTTCATGCTACCGAGGGGTACCACCTCCTAAGTTTCAAGATTATATGGCATATCAAGTTGATTCCTTGATCATTCCAACGTGTTACAAGCAAGCACAAGGTAATCCTTTCTGGGACGCCGCTATGCAGACTGAATTTGATGCTATGCATGCCAATCACACATGGACGGTAGTTGATCGTCCCGCTCCCGACACCCCTACTTTTGGTAGCCATCGGGTTTATACCATTAAGATGTTTTCCGATGAAACTATTGAACATTACCGGGCTAGGATTGTGGCACTTGGTTATACACAGGAGCAGGGGGTGGACTATAATGAAACCTTTGCTCCTGTGGCAAAGATTTCTACAGTTCGCATATTACTTGTTGTTGCTTCGCAGAAGGCTTGGCCATTGTTCTAGATGGATGTCAAGAACGCCTTCTTACATGGTGATCTGGATGAGGTGATTTATATGGAGCGTCCACCGGGGTATAATGTGGGTTTACCTGGACAGGTTTTTCGTCTACATCGATCGCTGTATGGGCTTAAACAAGCACCGAGAGCCTGATTTGAAAAGTTTCAAGGAACTCTGTTCAGGTTTGGATTTCAGCAGAGTTTGAATGATCCTTCTCTGTTCACTCGGTCTACATCACGCGGTATTGTTGTTCTTCTGTTATACGTGGATGACATGATCATCACGGGTTTAGATCAAGAAGGTATTCGGCAATTGAAGAAGGATCTGCAGAGTGAGTTTAGTATTAAAGACCTTGGGGAGCTTTCTTACTTTCTTAGGTTGGAAGTATCCTGGAACTCAACATGTATTTTTTTGTGTTAGTGCAAATACATTACTGATTTGTTGGGAGAACATGGTTTTGAAAACTGCAAGTCAGTCACTACACCTATGGAAGCTAATCTAAAGCTTGAACGAGAATCGAGAGAGAAGCTGAAAGATGGATCACAGTATCGCAGTATCGTGGTGAGTCTGATCTACTTGTCTGCTACGAGACCGGATATATCCTATGCAGTGCAGTTAGTCAGTCAATTCATGACTTCTCCGACAATGGATCATTTAGCTGCAATACATCGCATACTTCGATACTTGAAAGGGACTAGTGAGGTCGGGATTATGTTTCCCGCGACCAAGCAGTCTGTTCTTCGTGCTTATTCTGATTCAGATTATGCAGGGTGTATTGATACACGGAGGTCGACTACAGGGTGGTGTGTTCAGTATGGAGATGCTTATGTTTCCTGAAGATGTAAGAAGCATGATAAGGTGTCTAAGTCATCTACAGAAGAAAAATAACGGGCTATGTCAGACGTCACTTTTCAACTTGTGTGGATTCGACGATTACTCGGAGATTTCGGAGTAACCTGCCCGTTGCCTATGGAACTTATGGTAGATAATACAAGTGCTATCAGAATTGTTGCGAATCTGGTACTTCGCAAACGAACAAAACATATTGAGATGCACGTCCATTATGTTCGGGACATGGTTCGAGATGGGACAGTGACACAGCATTACATTCGTACGGAGGACCAGGTAGCTGATTTGCTCACAGAGACCTTTTCTACTAGCCGACATTGGTTCATGTCTAGCAAATTGATGCTGTTAGACAAGCATCAATTTGGGGGAGGGTGTTAATCTTGTATTAGTCCATGTATGTATTAGTCCAGCCCATGTAAATATAATAAAGGCCCATGCAAACCTAGTAGTTGACGTACAGGAGACTAGGGTTCGGCCAATATATATAGTGTGGAGTGTAGCCGGCAAACGTAACAAAAACAGATCAGTAAAAATCAGTAGTCGAAGAGTGTTCAAACTCTTCCGTGGATTAGTCCTGGAATTCCAGGGATACCACGTAAATAGGTGTTGAATTTCTGTTCTGATTTCATTTCCGTGAACTGATGAACAAATCTATCAATCCACTTGATTCAATCCATGAATCCACCAATCCATTTGATCCATGGATCCACCAATCCAATCCACCAATCCATGGATCAATTCATTTGCCACCTCTACATACAAGTATTACAAAAACTGTACTGTTCATTTATCTTGGGAAAGTAATTTATTCGGAGTTCTATCAAAACTTTTAAGACAACTTGAGTTATTAAGATCAACTGGTTCTTATATGCTATTATAGTCTTTTATGACCGATAAATCTTTTGTTCAAATATGGATGAATCTATTTGTTAAGTACATAAAATTATGATGCTTGTGCAACAAAAAAATAAATGGAGGGTGTGTTAGTAAGTAGTGTATGATCTATGATTGAACATTTTGCAAAAACTCGAGTTATTAGAACCATTTAGTTCTTGACAACAAAGTCACCACAATTTCAAAATGAAAAACAATGGACTCGGTTGTTTTGCTATAGTGTACAAATAAAAATTTATCTGAGTAATTGAAATTATTTTTTCCATATGCACAAGACTATTAGTATTTCCTTTGAGCACTTTTACTATGCTATAAAGCATTGGTGCTTTAATTTACAACTTGAAATTGTACCATAACGTGAAATATATAAGTTCAGGTTGTATCATAAAGAAATTTGTACCATTGGTACAAGTCTAAGTTGTACTATAAAAGAATTTGTACAATAAAATATAAGTACAATATGAAGTTGTAAGTTAAAAGTACAACTTCAAATTGTACCATAAAAGCAAAATCCTAATTCGCATCATATCATTATGGACGAATCGTACATACCCTGATACGATATATCAGTGGATGATAGGATTCTTATGGACATGGTAAGACACGAGTTTTGTAGTCCTAAGTTTTGTCATGTAATCCACATCATTATAAATTGCTAATTAGATTTTTATTAAATTGTCAAACGAATTCCACTCATCTTAATCTAATTAATTAATAAATTACCTTCTGCCAGAGAATTTCCATCTAACCCATCGTCTATATAGCATTATAAAATTTCTCGCTTTCTTTCACCAAGTTATATACTACTTTCTCAAATCAAAGTACCACTTCACGGTCAACACAAGACTAAGATATTTACTTACTTTTTTTTTTACATTGGGTTTTGTGGGAATAAAGTTTATCGATAGATTCAAATTTGGAACGACCAAATTGAAAAGTATTAGTATTATCAACGGACTAAGCTCTTGCGGGCACCTATATCTAATGTCTACTTAATGAGGAATGGAAGAACAATAATTCTTCTATCTATTTCTACTCGTTGTTCATAATCTGAAGTCATGAGGTGTGATAAATATAGTCTCATCACCATTAGGGCTGGCAACAGGTCGGTTTCGGTTTAACCGAAACCCGAATTCTCGGTTTTCGGTTAAACCGAGACCTGACCAGCGGCCACCGTCAACCGACCGTCCCCAGAGCCCCAGTTAGCCGCAAATCGACCGGGCGGTTTTCGGTTCAGGTACGGTTTACATCGGCAACCGAAAAATTGATGGGGAAAAATCAGGTTTCGGGTTATGGGTCATACTCTTCTCCAACCCGACGACGCCTGCGACTTCTTGATCGAGAAATCCCCAAACCTCAGCTTGAAATGAAGCATGAAGCTAGGGTTCCCCTTCCCGACCAAATTGAACTCCGCGCTCATCACCATCGGGCTCGACGTCGGCGACCCGAACGACCCCGACCCCGTCTTGAGCATGAGGGAGAACGGATTCCACGAATCGTTGGGGCGGTAGGCGACCTCGAACGACGGGCCGGAATCGAAGAACGTCGAGAGGTTGAGGGAGAGCTCCTTGGCCTCGCCGACGACGATTCCGGATTGGAAAGGCAAGCCCAGAATGCTCAGCGGGATCTTGGCTCGGAACAGCGGCGGCGGCGGTCCTGATTCTCATGTCGGCGGCGACGACGGCGGAGTCGACACGCACCATCGCGACGACGTAGCACTGGCACTGGCCGTGGGGGTCCCGCACGAGGGTGACGATAAAGAACGAGATCTCTGTAACAGCCGAGGTTGGTGGAGGGATCTATTCCGGCGATTACAGGTGGAAATGGCTGAATTGAGGAAGGAATTGAGGATTAGAAGAGAAGGGTAAAATGAAATATGAATGAGAGAGAAAGAGAGTAAAATGATAGTGGGTCAACAAAATAATAAAAAGTATTGGTGGGTCCCACTAATTCCATCTTCATTCTCTCAATTCCTATCACTTTTGATAGGAATTGTAATTCCTATATTTTAGACCCATTGGAATTCAATTCTCAACCTTTTTATTATTCCAAACATAATATATGGAAATGGAATTGGAAATGGAATTCCAATTCCTTACTTTTTTGTCAATCCAAACAGGCTGTTAAGGAAGAAGAAGGGGAAACAGGATAGAGAAGGGAGAAAACAGAAGAGTTTCTGGAAACGGGATGGAGACAGCTGAAGGAGGGTTGCGGCGCGGCGGGTGTGTTGTGGCCTGTGGGAGTGGATTGGAGGGAGGCGGTGACCGGCGAGGCGATTGGAGGCGGATTCGTCGTCGGGTGTGCTGTGGGAGTGGCGGCTGAGGGAGGATGGAGGCCGAGAACAGAGGGTCTGAGGGAGAGGGAAGGATGCTAGGGTTGGGGATGGGTTGGGTTCGTTTTGTCGGTCGGTTAGCGTCGGTTAGCCGGTTAACCGGCATCGGTTAATCGGCTAACCGCCTAACCACTTACAGCATCCGCCAACCGACCGCCTCCTGTTATTTTCGGTTACCGGTTAGCCGCTAACCGGCAGTTAACGGTTAGACCGGCCGGTTAGCCGCTAACCGGCAACCGAAATGACAGCCCTAATCACCATTACCAAATATCTTCTATATAGAGGAAATACATTTACTTACATTGTTACTTTTGAGTTCACATCGAACCTTTACTATATCTTGAAATATCATGCTCACATCTGCCAAAAATTAATGCAATTATATATTCCATTTAATTTCCTCTTTTTATATTTTTTTCATATTCCCAACAAACTGATCTCATGAACCCAGAAAAAAAAAGACCTTATCTATCTTACAGCATCCTTCCACTTTCAACTCTTGATAATATTGATAATAACAAACAAAAGGAAATCATAAAAAAAATTAAAATACAGTAGCAAATAAAAAGATATATCATTTTCCAACTATACATACATAAATTAATAAACACTCTATATTCAAAGTAGCTAGCCCCCTTTCTCCAAATATATATATAAATAAACAGTAGCTTTCCAGTACATATATATATATATATATACATATTAATATTTAATTATATGAAACAAAAAAGTCCCCTTCTTCCCATCTATATAAGCAACCTCTCTAACAAAACACAAATAGTAGTATTCATCTCAACAATACACATGCATTTCTAGCCCTCTAACCTTCCCCTTCTATTCCCTGCTTCCAATTCTGTTTGTCTGTTTTGGAATTTGATAGTGAGTTTTGCTTGCAGTTGTCGAAGTGAAACTGACATAAGCAAAAAAAAAAAAAAAAATTGTATATCAATTACTACTGTTTTCAGGTTCTCCCAAAGCTGCGGCCATCATCTCATCACCATCGTCATCGCACTAACATTGCCCCAACTTGCTCTTCATTTTGGACAGCTGGGAGCCGCTGGATCTGGAAATTATTTTTTGGTATGTATTCATTATTATTGTATATTTACATCTGTCGTATTTCAAGATCCATCTCCAGAAATTAATCTCTGATGTGATGGCCATGGCTATAATAATAATTTTGTCCAGTGAGAGAATCCATGGACGGACTGCAGGCCGTTTGGGATCATCATCATCATCATGATCATTCCTCTTCATCTCTGCTATGGAGCAATTTCGCCAACAATAATAAGCTAATAATGGCAATGGATCAACAAGACGGAGAAGAAGACTTCTTCCTCAATCCCATCCCACAATTCCTCCACTCCAATAATACCCACAAGGTGATGATCTGCTTTAATCCATTTCAAGTCAGGCTCATTTACATTCTTGATTTTGATGTGGAATAATGTGACATTCAAGTCTTAATTATTAATTAAATGGAAAATTTTAATACAGGGCCAGGATTCAGTTGGAAACACCAGCTCATCATTGATAATGACTCCTCCGGCCGCCGGCTTCGGTACCGACGGATCGATGGAGTCGCTGGACTGCTTGCTGACGTCAGCCTCGAACAACAGCCACACGGCCACTACTACCTCCGCTGAAGACGCCGACGACGACTGCATTCCCCTCATCTTCTCTCCCGCCGCCGCCGGGAACTTTTGGAACACCACTCCTCCTCTTCCACCCGCCGTCACCACAGCGACGGCAGTACTCTCCTCCGGAGATTCATCGGACAACTACGATAAAACTACTCGTCACAACAACGACGGCCGTGCCACCGGAAAGAGGAAGAGCACCAATGTCGAAACCGGAGGGCATAAGAAAACTAAACCTTCCACGGCAAAGAAACCGAGGCATTCCTACACGTCAGCAACCTCGTCGTCCGACGACAGGAGCAAGAACATAAGCTTCCAACAAGGTACCTGCCTGACCGGCTCCTCGTACCCCGAGGAGCCGGACCAGGAGGCGATAGCCCAGATGAAGGAGATGATCTACAGGGCGGCGTGCTTCCGCCCCGTGATGAACATCGGGGCGGAAGAGGATGTCGCCGCCGCGGCGACGGAGAGGCCGAAGAGGAAGAACGTGAGGATCTCGACGGACCCGCAGACTGTGGCGGCCAGGCAGAGGAGGGAGAGGATCAGCGAGAGGATTAGGGTTCTTCAGAGGCTGGTCCCCGGGGGGAACAAGATGGACACGGCCTCCATGCTCGACGAGGCAGCGAACTATCTCAAGTTCTTGAGATCTCAAGTCATGGCTCTCGAAAACAACAAGATCTCGACATCACCATCGCCGCCATCGTCGTCGGCAACCCTACAAAGCTTGTTCCCGCTGGTAGTGCCCACGAACTTGACATTCTCTCCTTCGATGATCCCCACCACCAATAATTATGGTCACAACCAAAGTGGTGGGAGTAACATTCTTGGTAGTGGTGGTGGTGGTGTGGTTCTTCCCATGCAAACCCAAAACAACTTTCCCAGTTTGGTACTACAAAACCCTAGTACTAGTAGTAGTAACCTTCTCTACCCGTATCATCATCACCAACCTCCCCATCATCAAGTTTGATAGATATGTGTAGGGCCGGTAATTACGGCTACCGACCGATTACCAGCCCTAGATATGTGCATGCACCCTTGAAAGTATAGGGTGTCCTGTTTGACTGAGATGTAACTTTTTTTTTTATCTATGTTAAAGCTGAAGTTTGGAACCCGATTGAGCACAACCTAGCTACTTGTAGAAAGTTGTATGGGGTGTAATCTTAATTATGATTCGAAATTTGGTTAATGGTCGTTGCGTAGTTCTGTGTAATGATTAGGGTTGTTCAAAAGCTCTAAAGAGTCTTCATATCATCATTATATTTATCATTGCATGGTCGATCTCTATATGTACTCTCTAATCATCATGCTAATCAAAATCTCTGTTGTACTAACGATGAATGATTGCCATCATCATTAAACCCATGCTGACCTCAAGGGAGAGCCGATGGTATATATTGGAAGAGCAGTGTTCATATTATCATAATATGAACTTTACCTTACCCTCCTTTTGGTGTTCTTTTTTGCTGGTTTCAATGACAGTGCTGTAGCAAGCTTAGAGTAGTCAAGGCAGAATGTAGATGGAGAAAGGTGAGGGAATCTCAGCATCGATGGTGTACTTTGATCAGAAAAGTTGGCATGCAAAGCAATTATAGCATCTATGATTACTGTGGTTAGGTCAAAGACTAATTACTAGAAAAGTGGCCATCGATCTCTTTTTCGTGTAATTTTCTACTGAAGTTGTTTAGCTAACCAATGCAAAAGGGAGACATTCTCTTAAGAACTGTGAGGGCATATATATATATATAATAATATAAATAGTCTGGCAGTGGTCCTGTCCCCTTGATTCAATCCAAAGCGTGCCCTTGAAAATCACTCCTAATATATATTGCTTAGCACATGTGTTTATGCTTCTTTTTTGGCACAATCTGCATAAACTGGTGTTAATAGTTAATTAAATAATTAATTAACAGACAAACTATATGCTCAAATTCTCTGACGTTGTTGTTATCTGACTGGGTACCACATATAATTAAATGGTATTGATAAGCTGAGGTGATGAAATTGAAATTTGGGCATATGGGTGTTTTTTGGTTGTTTCCTTTTGGCGGTTTCTGAAAGGGTTTTGTCTTTGTGAGAGTTGAAAGAAAAGTTTGAGGAATCTTTTGATTGGATCGAATTATTCTTTTTAGACATTTTGTTTCCAATTTTCTTTTGTGGTTGAGGGAAACTATATGCTATATTTAGACCAATTCTGTTGAGAAAGGAAACCCCAGATCCCTCCTCTCACTTGGGTTATTTTATATTTTCTAGATCAATTATTCTTTGTGGTGGGACATTTAGGTGTGTGTCATCTTGGTATACAACTTTCAGTCCAAAGAGATGTATATTTTTTTCTTCTTATTTATGTAGCAGAAATGACATCCTAACGTGTATTATTAGTTACATAGATGTTGGAGAGTCGATTGATGTAGAAAAACAGAAATCAACCAATGTGCTAAGAGTGCATTTGAATATAGCCAATGACATTATTCTCTAATGGTCCGTTGTGGTCTTGATGGGTGGAGGTCTCCACAATTATCTTCACAATGGACTCGAGTAAGGAGAGCCTCGAAAGAGAGCATCTGGCAAATAGCAACAATCTTGATGTGGGTTGGATGAGTATGATTACCTCGCATCGTATGAGTTGGAGTGCGCAATCACAATTTATGTTCCCTAAAAAACCAAACCAGATTGAAATTTGTCTAAATCCCCATCAACTCACCTCCAGTGATAATTGCACCCTCTAAATTGACCTTACATGTCTTAAGCAATACCTAACACTAACCAAATATCAATAAGATCAAGTTAGAATTGAAGAAGCTTTTTTCTAGTAAAATACATTCTCCTCCTTATGAAGAAAATGTTTATAATTTACAATGCCATTATGACTTTTGAAATTAAGAAAATTATACCGTTGATTTTCTTATATAAAATGGGAACTAAAATAACGCCCCTACGTAATACTTAAATTTAGTTTGGATCCAGAGATCTAGAATACCTTATATATCAACCAATGAGTTAAACTATGGTGTAGAGAATGAATAACATTAAAACAACCAATTTGCAGGTGGGGATTGAGAAAAAATGCCAAAAACAAATTTTAATCTAAAAGAAGAGACAATGAAAGATTGCTTGTTTGTAGGGAGAATTGACAATTTCCTTATAATGATTGTTAATTTTGGTATTTGAATTTTGGCTAGTGGGGAAATTCTGACTTTGATAAACAGTTATGATATGGTTGGTGGTGGATATTATGGGATAATAATACACGGTATGGATACAGCTTGCTCTCAGTCGGCACAGCTGGGCTCGGCTCCAACGTTGAAGCTTTTCGGCTCGGCACAAGAGCCAAGCCGCGCGCCAGCCAGACGCTACGTATACGACAAAGTTTTCTGATAATATTATTTATTTGTTGGTTGATTATTGGTGTGGCATCCAATTGAAAACAAGTGATTCTTTAATTTGCTTACAATATGAAGTTTTCCTATTTTTAGGACTTACGTAAACATTGTAATTTCCCCTTACTTTCCAGTTTCCACTGATTACTTAATCTGTAAAGACAGTAATTGATGTTGGTAATGCACATGTATATATGTTTGAAGCTGGAAAATGATTTCAAGGTTGAGCACCTGTCCATAGGAGACTTGTGCATAAGCTCTGTCGATGGAGGTCAAGTGTTTGAGCAGTTTGCGGTTATCAAAGTTCGGTTTACGTACCAAAATTTTTGTTTTGGAAGAGAGAATTATTATGCGACAATTGTCTATATCTAGCATTTACGCTTTCTTTTCCATTCTTCCTTGCTTCGCATCTCTTAAACAATCCTACTTAACGTGACGGATGGGTATAAGTATACGCTGCTTATAGTACTTTTTTTGTTGTTGTGAATTTAAGGGTATATAGCTTTATTCTTTAAAATTTTAAAGAAGAAACCTCTTTTGATTTATTGTGTTGAGTACTGCAAAGATCAATACTTATATATTGTAACCTTACATTTTGAGATATTGCTTCATTCTGTAAATACTCAAAATGTGCTATTCATACAGCAAACTTTAAGTATTTTGGTTCTGTACAAACTCAAAATGTATTGTGTGAACAAATAATATAAATACTTGATCCTAAGAACTTATGGTTTAAACAAGGCCTAATACCAATAAAAGTCCCATGGTTTATGGATTGTGTCAATTATGTTCCTATGTTTTCGACACGGGGATTATGTCTTAAAATTTTATCTCTGTTAACTTTCATCGTGAATGGGCAATGAGCAACATGTTGATTGATGACATGTCACTTGAATTGAGTATTTTTCTTGTCACGTCAACTTAAATAAAAGTATTTTCAAACATTGTTAATTTAAAATGACATTTATCGCAAAAGAAAAACAAAACAAAAATAACTAATATTAATATCCGATCCCCTGATCCCTTGTCTTCCCCTACTAAGTGTATAATACTACCCCTCCGTCTACTGCTTCAACAGAAATCGGGTTCATAAACTGGGCCTTTCATCTAGCAGTCTAGAACCCAAATTCTAGAACATATTTGCCATTGCCATACAGTCTCTGTACTTGAGGGCCAAATTTGCGTCTGTGGTGAGCTAGACAATAATGGGTCCAAAGTGGCTCGAGCCCAGCTATAACCCAATGGTTTAAGCGGGCGCTCACAATATCGATAGTGATTCATTTGACAATTTAGTTGAAATGATAAAAGAGGCCCAGCTGCCTTCATGGACAGTGAATGGTAGCCTGGTAGGGCTATTTATCAACGAGACAAAGTTTGAGCCCGTTCATTTATTAAAATTTTAATTCGTCATTGGATAATGAGTTTGGCTCAATTTAACTCATTTATTTTGAACATTTGAGCACCTATTGCCCTGTTCACTTCTCATTTTGTTTTCTGTTTTCTGTTTAAAAAATGAAAATAAAAAAATAAATGACAAAAAACGTGTTCACCTGTCATTCCGTTTTCGTTGGAAAAAACCATTTGTCACAAATAAGAAAGCTTTGGGAAAACAATAAATACTTGTTTTCAGAAAACAAGGGGACGGATTATCCCCCGTTTCTCAGCGGAAAAATGGCACTATTCATTAATGAGATACTGTGTTCGATTCACCAAGGCCGCAATTTTTTTTTACCTTTTCCTCCATTATCCTCCATGCTCCAAAACACGTCGTTTTGCCCATCGTTTTCAATTTAACCCATCCTAACCCTAGAAACCTCTCCCTTGCTCGACCGACAACTCTCTCTCCCTCAAGCAGCTCCGCCACCTCCTTCTCCACCCAGACCACCCCTCATCATCTTCCTCTCCCTCGCCAGCCCCCGGCCGCCATCATCTGCCCAGACCACCACTCCATCATCTTCCTCTCATCCCCGCGACGCCATCATCTTTTCTCTTTCGCCAGCCCCGCGCCGCCATTATCAATCGGGAAGATTCGGGTTTACCAGAGAAGCAGTGAATCTTCCCTCCGCCATGAGTTATCAGACTACCAGAAAGGGTGAACATTTAAGCTCAACGGATGAGGAACGTCATCTTTGTCCCACTTGGCCTTCTCATTGTGATTGTCGCTGCTGTCATGACTCATCATTGCAATGCTGTTAAGGAGAGCTGGTGATGAAGAAGAGGAGCGGAGAGCTGGCGATCAAACATCATTGGAAGACATCAAAACCATAATAAGAATAATGAATAATAACAAGTTTGGTAATTTGCATTCCCGCTAATGGTCCTTGGTTTTTTTTTTATAATGGTGATAAAGCTTTATTGCAAAAGGAAAAACAAAAGAGGGCAAAGGTTCAAAAGAGATGAACCGAAGCCCAAGTTCAGCAAAGGCACAAAGCCAACAGAAAAATACTAAAGCAGACAAAGGCGCTGCAGGGGCCAAAAAAACAGACTTGCAGCACCCTGACTAACACACGACCACCACCAAAAACAACAAAAACGGGCCAGGCTCCTCCTGAAACAACACTGAAATAGACACACACACTCACAGAGCACGACACACAAGAAGACAGCAAAAGGGCCTCACTCAACCAACAAACCAAACTGGAAAAGCAGACTTCCCAGGGAGAGGCACGCAGCAAAGGGGGCCGAGGAGAAGCATCACCCCAGCAGAAACCGAGCGGCAGACATACGAACACCTCCGCAAGGCAGAAACGCTGCATATCAGTCTCCCAGCGCACCACAAGCTCGTCAGATCATACCAATCCGATTTTCTAGCCACCTTAAACCTTCCTCTTTGTCAATATTGCCGTGAACGATGATCCACTCTGCTGCATTCCGAAGAGCCTTTCTCAATGTACCACGAGCATTTATCTTGGCGTCTCTGAAAATTCTCTGATTTCGTTCCAACCACACTTGCCAACAAATGGAGTGTAAAAAGCAAAAGCGGATCCACCCCTCTATATCAGCGGGAGTAACAGTGGGCCACCTGCTTATAGAGCTGATCATATCGCCATCAAGGACATCTATGAGATTGCACACCAACTTAGCACGGCTCCAAGCCTCCTTCGCGTACTCGCATCGAATGAAGATGTGGTCAATGGACTCTTCCTCATG